GAGCCGTGCCAGGTGCAGGGTCTGCTGGCTGGGTGCTGGCAGGCTTGCACCTGGCACGGGCATCGTAGCCAGCCCGTGCCTCTTTAAGGGGCTTGGGGCTGGGAGGGGGGCAATAGAGTTTCCCTGGTGTTGGCCAGAGTGGCCACCAAGGAAAGCTGGGGAGGGCTAGCCTCCCACTAGTTCGAATTAAGGGGCTACACAGCCCTCAATTCGAACTAGTAAATTCGAACTAGGCTTAATCCTCGTGGAATGAGGATTACCTAGTTCGAACTAAGCGCTCCGTTAGTTTGAATTAAATTCGAACTAACGGAGCGCTAGTGTAGCGCCTAGGAAAGTTAGTTCGAACTAACTTTGTAGTGTAGACAAACCCATTGATACAGAAAGTTGAGGTGACAGGAGATCTGTCTGGGACAGAGGAGTATGGACGAGAGACAGTAATAACCTTACTTTTACTATTGGCCCATTCACCCTGACATTTTCCAAACAACGGCTGCAGTGCTGGGGGACCAGCTGGGCCAGCCCAACTCCGGCTTAATCACTTTTTGGCCAGCCCAACTCTGAGTAGCACTGGCCCCCCGGGCCAGGTGATAATGCCACAAACTCACATTGGGCCCAGCCATCCTTCCATCGTAATGGGGGATGTCTGGATCAAATCAGAGTGAGCGGCATTCTGATCCGGCACCATGGGGTCACAATGCCCCTGGGATTTCACTGCTGACTACACTACAAGCCTTTATTCCAAAATAACGTTGAGCTGGAGGACTTCTTACTCCGACTCCTGTAACCCTCATTTCCCGAGGAGTAAGGGAAGTCGAAGGAAGAGAGCTCTTCCTTCGACTTCCTGCTGCGTAGACAGCACCATAAGCCTAGCTAAGCTATTTCGACCTAAGCTACGCAATGGACGTAGCTGAAGCTGCATAGCTTAATTTGTAGATCCTGTGTAGATGTGCCCTCAGAGTTAGAGGGAGGTGGATGTTGGGGCTCATGAGTAGGGGATAGGGAAAGCAGGAAGGAGCCTGAGTAGATAAGGAGGGTCAGGTGGAGTGGGGAAGGGGGGAATCTATGCCCGCCCCACGCTAAATGGTGCCCAGCAGTGAAATGCGACCACTTCTGGGGTTCAACACAGCTGTTTGGGAGGTGAAGAAGGCCAGAGCTAATGAAACCGAGAGGGAGTTTTCAATGAGTAAGGTGATTAACTAACCTGGAATGTGGCCAGGATGTTACCAATGCTGGTTACATTTCTACTCTTGCAAAAAGTGCCTGGCAGCCTTTAACAACCACAGGAGGTTGGAGGCTCAGTGCCCCTAATGCCAAGGGAGGATGCTGGGTCCGGGCTGACTTAGAGGGAAGAATGCCACATGAAATCGGCAAAATCTTCTTCCTGCCGTACCTGGGATTTCCCTGGAGCTATCCCACTGCAGTTCTGGCCAGCACGACCCACCCAGCTGATCAGTTCAGATGAGCATAGTTCCGGCAGCAGCACGGAGACAGATTCCGCTCTGACAGGTGGGGGAGGTGAGAGGTATGATGGGAAGCGAGGTGTCCGGCCTGCGTGATATGAAGGGATTCTGAGCTGTGGTGACAGACAGGGACTGGACAGTGGAATAACAGCAGGTCTGGGTGTGGTGGAGGGGAATTTGGACCTGCACACATAATATTTCCATGGGACACTGGGCAGAGTTAACATCCAGTCCTAGGGTCAACTGGATTCTGGCTGCACAGCCACACTGGGGAGGGGACAATCCTGGGGTCGAGGGTCCTGGGCTCGGAACCCCAGCATGGGAACGATCCAGCGGCTCCGCTCCCCATCCCTCAACTCCCTCGCTAGCCGGTGGCCTTGGGCATGCATCCGCTGGTGGGAGCGGAGGCCGGAGAGCTTGGGGAAAACCTTGCCACACTCCCCACAGCAAAAGGCCTTCTGGATGTGAGTCTGGCGGTGCTTGAGCAGGGCGGTGGAGCGGATGAAGGCCTTGCCGCACTCGGAGCAGACAAAGGGGCGGTCGTTGGTGTGAGTAGCCCGGTGGAAGGTGAAGCTGGAGGACTGGCTGAAGGACTTGTTGCAGAGGCCGCAATGAAAGGGTTTGAGGCCCATGTGCATCTTGCGGTGCTGGAGCAGGGTGGAGGGATCCGAGAAGGTCTTTTCGCAGAAGGGGCACTCGTAGGGCCGGTCGCCGGTGTGCGTGTTCTGGTGGATCAGCAGCGAGGTAGAGCGGGCGAAGGACTTCTCGCACACGGAGCAGCGGTAGGGCTTCTCGCCAGTGTGGGTGCGCTCGTGGCGCCGCACCATGGAGGCCTGGTAGAAGCCCTTGCTGCAGTAGGAGCACTGGTAGGGCCTCTCTCCCGTGTGGATCCGCTGGTGCACTTTGAAGTCCGACTTCCTGGCAAAGCTCTTGCCGCAGTCCCCGCAGATCCAGGTCGGGGCACCAGCCATGGCTATGGGCTTGTGGTCTCCGAGCACTGGGGCCAGCTGGCTCATTTCTGCCACCGCTGCCAGCTCGGTAGGCGCCAAACCAGCAAAGACTCTGCCAAACGCTGCCCCGCCCTGGCTGCGCTCCACCGTCATGCTGTTTTCAACAGGCTGGGTCTGGTCCCTAAAGCCATCCACCCATGGGCGCTCCCCGGGCAGGCTAATCCGGCCCTTTTCCTTTGCCAGCTTAAGGCACAGCTGCACTCCTGCAGGGCTGTCTGCCATGAGTGGTGCCCCGTGAAGCCTCTGTGCACTCATAGTCCATGCCTCCCAGCACCTCCGAGGTCTGAAACCAGAGACACCAGCATGAGACGGGAATCCCCTTTACAACCGACTTGGAACTCTGCATTCCTTCCATGGGTCTCGCCTCCCGCCCCCCTCATAGGCCCAAGGAGCTGCACCAGCCTGGCCAGGGGAACCAGGATGTGCAGCAACAGAACTTGCCCGCGCCAACCACGGCTGTCCTGGGCTCCACTGGGGCTCTCCACTTCTGTGTCTGTATTGATGGCCCGGCATTGTGCTCCCAGCGCAGACACAGCCCCTGCCCTCCCGGGCGACCACAGCAGGCAAGGAAAACCACCCCCACGGGCGGCCCCCTAGCTCAGAGCAGTCACCCACTCTTACTCTCGCCCTTCTGTTGTCTGGTCGGTGCCTGCTACAGCAGGGCAGGACTTTCCC